AATTAATATATAAAGCAATATATGCACAAAAATCATAGTTCATCATTTTTATTTTCAATCTCATTCGGTATTCTTTTGACAATAATGTTATTGTTACAATATTCACATTTTTCACTTCTGATAGTCGTCTAAACATATTATCAATCTTTTACGATACAGATAAGCACGAGCATCTTTGAGGGTTTCATGATGATATTTCATTAAATAAGTCAAAACAATTGTGGCACTACACGGTCGTCATTCATAACAATAAGCCTGCGAATAATCATTACTTATACGTTCAAAAGCTGGCTCATTTTCTTACGAATGTTCGTTCTTTCTTTAAAAAAATATTGATAGAGAAAATTATTTGTTCAAACAGATTGTTGTCAAATATTTATATGTTAATAATTGAAAATATTAAGAAAAATTTGTTGGTTAGTACGTGTGGTTACTATATTTCACTTCAAAAGAATCATTGTCGGATTGAAAAACAAAAGACGCTACTGTATGTTTGCCAACTATTGTAATATTTCACAAAAATCTTGCATTCTGATTGTTTATTATTCAAAAAAAGTATGTTTCTAAATTGCGACTATGTGCGCTTTACTTTTGTTGGTTGTTCTTTTCTTGTGAAGATATAATAAATACATGGCAACCAGGTAATTTTGACCAACGAAAAATTTCTTATAAAGTAATAAATATAATTAATTTTTAGCTTCAGATATCGAACCTAATAGAGAAAAAGAATTATTATCCGACTATGAAGAAACAATAAAACTAACTGGATAATCAAAATCATCATCAAATCAAGAGTGCCCACGTATGGACGTTTCGTTTAAAACGCAAAAATATATGTTATGTCTATGAACAGCATATCGTTCTCCTTAAATTCCAGTAGCGTTTATTTTTCTTGTAGAACGATCTACTCTGTAGCAAAAAAGTTAGTGGGGAAAAGCCAGGTGGTTTCGATCGTGGCCATGAACTAGGTACATAAGAAAAAACAATTCTTTTGAAGCTAATTGCATAACTTCATTTTTGGTTATTGTGTTTTACAAAAAATCTTGGATGCAACTGACAGTTAACGTTATTAGTAAAAGGGTGTGGCTGTGATGAAGCTGACTTAGATTCAGCTCGAATAGCTAATATAAAGTGTCCTCATTTAGTGACAGAATTTCATGAATAACATTCATTTTGGATTAAATTACCAAGGAAACTACCGACACGATAAATTTAACTTATCAACTAATATTTGTTTATTTATTTGTGTATAAATGTCATTTATTTTTGTACCGCATTGTTTGAATGCATTTAATATGCGCCTACTATTTTGTGAATATGGAATATTTAGTCGAAAATAAAGCTTTTTACTAATCATATATATTTTCTTTTTTCGATGATCACTTCCAGACTTGAACATGTTGTGAAACAGTGATTAGAAGAGATATAAAAAGAACTCGGGTTTTTCTAAAAGGTTGTAATCTTTTCTAGGTGTATATCATCATTCCTTGCTGTGTAGTCCCTAGTCCTGTCTGAAATTTTAATCAAATTTAGTCCGACCTTAACCAAAACTTCAAAGGATGTTGATCATGTCTAAGGAGGGAACCTTTCGAGATGTAGCCTTCCGATTCCCCTGATTTTTACCTGGATCGATAGACCTCAGTGAGGTAGTAAATACCCTAAAAGGATTCGTACCCATGACTCTTGGTTTTCCGGACAACCAGTTTTTCAAGAACTCTACAAAATAACCAAAACCTTTCTTAATGAGTCCCAATTGTAGCCCGCAAATTTCTGATTAAAATGAGACATCTCCCAGCTCTACACGACCTTCCTTTGCAAAATTAGAGAATTTACGAGAAAAGCCCTAAAATGTTCATTGTCAGCTCAAAGCTACAGAAATAACTAGAAATTAATTTAGGGCTTTTATTATAAATTTTATAACTTTGCAAAGAAAGATTATGTAGAGCTGGGAGATGTCTCGTTTTAATCAAAAATTTGCCGGCTACAATCATGCCTCATTAAAAAAAGGTTCGCCTTTTTGCACTGTTAATAGCTTCAGCTCCTGTTGTATCGTTCTTTTCAAAAGTTAATAAAATAACCCTATCGTTTTCTAAAACGTTGACTTAGTAATCTCATCCTACTTCACAACCACATTCAATACTGAAATTTGATTTATTTAATAAATATCACACTCTCTGTCTCACTCTCAGTATGTTTGTCAAAGACAATGTCTATCCCTCTATCTTTCTAATTGAATTCTACTACTGCGATTTTTATTCATTATTACTGTTGGTGTCTTCTGTTGTCTACTCGTTACGTGCATCATGTTCCGAAGAGTAAACCGGTAAAACATGGTGCACTTAAGTGCCAAACTGGATGCTGACAAAGTATCCTTCCTCCCTGAAATGCAAACCTCTGATACTACTCTTTTTCTGATGCTTATCTTTCTGTTTTGTGATTTTACTGTGATTTATCGTAAATAGTGTTGAATGAACATGTAGCAATGAAGAAAAACTGGTATACTCGAGGCAGCTTTATCACAAGGCTGGATGATACTCCAAGCAAGAAAACGACACTGTAAATGACGAGAATGAAAAAATACTCATATAGCGATTATACAAGTCATGTAGCGAGAGCAGTCTGTCGCTCTGATTTTTCTTCATAAAATGTAGGACTCGTGTCGCGACATAGGGATTCCTATAGCAAGAATGAAGATTCGCTCTAGTTTAATGGATAGACAGCGGGACTCAGGGAGCGACTTAGGGAGTCGTGCCGCGAGTCTAGTGAAAGTATAGCAGAAATTCCACTTCATCGCGAATTTATAGCGATCGCGGTAAGAGCGTCACATTCAACGACTAGACTGCTATTCGCTTGACGCGTTCACGCCGTGACTTTTCATTGCAAGTCACGTCAACATTTTAACAAGATAGTTGACCTGGGATCATGCATACATACGTGACATATTTTATCATTGTAAGAATTGAAACATTGTGTCACATTTATAATGTTTTCTATCCGAGCTGCGCTAGTAGCTAGTAAAAATAATTTATTATGAAATTTAGAAAAATTTTCATTATAGGACGTTAATTAAAATTTTTAATCAAATTCTTCTGCCATCCAAAGCTCTACATCACAGCCATTTTGCAAGAGACATTTTAACGAAAGTCCCGTGACTTTCATTTCAAAAACGCTTTAATGAAACTATTTAATGAACGTCACCCAATCCTAAATTATGATTCTATTTCCAAAGGCGCTAGCTGTTAGAGCAGACATTCCTGATCAAAATGAAGCCTTGTAATTAATTAATTTCAATAACTAACTTTGAAATCCAAAAATAGTGAGAAGAAATATTAGCAAACATTTTGTGTCTTCCACCATGTGATACATTTTGATGATATTCACTCACAACAGTATAAAACGATTCATACAAGCATATCGGCTTTTTACCCTTAACACAACAAACGACATGAATATCAGCAAATTAGGACAACGGAAAATGATTACGACACCAAAAAATAAATTTCGGAGAAAGCGTTTGAAAACTGTTACCTTTTTTGAGTAGTAATATCATTAATATTTTATCATAAGTATCTTTTTTAATAAAGGTTTTTTATTTAAGGCTCATTCGACAAGTCAACAGTGGTTACAGAGGCGGTAAGCATTGTAATATAAGAACGAGACAAGTAAACTTGGTTGATAGTTAAAGATAGAAAGAGTTAAGTGTACATACCAGAGGTAGACGATGGACAAGGATCCTTGCGAGGCCCCGCGATTCTTCACGGAGTGAACCCCGCGAGGAAGATTCTTCGAAAGCTTGACGAGGCAGAAACTTCAAATATCAGTGTTGGACTGATATCTGTCGACGCCGGGTAACCTTAAAAATGATTAAACATGCACGAATTATAGGTTATTGATCATCCGATGTCGATTTTTCTAGAGACATTTAATGCAAAACATTGCAGAAATTTGCGTCCGTTTTTCTGCAAAAATCCGTAGTAAAATTTCCGTGTCTCACGTAACATCACATACATGAATTTCTTCTGCGTTCTTTTTGCTGAAACGAAAATTCTTGCGATAAAACGCCAGAAAATATTATTGTCTGTAATTACAAATATAAAACTTTGTCTGTTTCTCAGACAATCACCACGCAGATTCATCGAACCTGTCCACAGACAAGCGTAGCGGCTCACTCTTAGGTATGCCGGTAGTGGATCGCAATCGCGCTGCTCGCAGTGTCCTTCAAGCTAAGAGGAATCACTTAAACAAAACTCTCAGTAAATATTCAATAGAAAAGGACCATTTATATAAATATAAGGTTGGACATATTTTGCTTTTTCGATTTTTGCTGGAAAAAATACGGCGCAAGAAAGCGCATATACGGATAATGCGTTTTCTGGCGTTGCTTAAGTGTTGTGGCCCAAAAAGTGATAAAAAACGCACATTTCCTGTCAATATGCTGTTGACTTACTGATATTTGTTAACTTGTATTATTCATGAACAATACTCACCGAGATGAATATGCTGAACAAGAATGAACCAACAAAATTAATTTAATAGAAGGTTTACACACATACAATGGAAAATTAGAAAACATGTTACAAGAGCCTGATGCTACTATTTTAAAATGTATTAATAGAAAATGGACAAATTATTGATTGTATTTATGTTGCACCAAAAAAGACAGGACAATGTTATCTTAGTTCTGTTTCTGCTCTACTGTAATTAAATGATATTGGTAAACAATGATTAAAATCAGCTGAACAATATGCAGCATTGAAAAATTGTCATTCAATTATAATACAGTAATATCTGTGAGACAATAATAAATTGTATAGTATGGACGGAAAGGTTTTAAAAGAAAAGAAAAAAAGAACATCATATGCACAGTAAATATTTTACCATTCAAAACAAAACTACGGCTTATTCCTATGAAAAAGGTTATTATCAAGAAATATCAGCATGACTACACGTTACTGATACTATCCCTTTAAAATAATCGACGTAGTTTTGGTGATTAATGTTTAGGTGTTCCTATTAACACCAAAACATAGTTCTCTCATTATTGTGAATCCACCATTCTCCCATCCCGAATAGAATGCATTCACATCATCTAATAAATCCACTTTTTCAATTTTTGACTCGATTTTATGCAATAGCTTTGCTAAATAGTCTTGGTCAACAGCAAATGGTGGACCGCGATGTTGATCATGCCAATAGCATCCAAATAATAAATCATATCCTGTCTTTTCAACAGAAGTTGACGGCTGTTTCATTAATGAGAATAACTTTGTTAAATATCGTTCATGATCATCCCAATGTAAAGCAACGATAGCGGCACGATCCCAAATGTAATCAACAGGTCCACCAATAAAATCTTGTGTCAAATCTGACGAAAATAAATCAGCTTTATAAATGATAATTTGTCCATCTAATGTCGAATATTCTGATATGCTATCATTGAGTTTTCTATATGAATAATTATCCACTTCTTGTGCTAACATCAGTTCTTGTATGGCACGATCACTACCTTCGATACCGATGACATTTAAACCCTGTTCAGCTAACCAAAATAAATCAACTGATTTACCACTTAATGGAACGAGAATACGCTTCGAAGGTGACCAATTACGAAACTTGTGTGCATGCTTTATGAGAAATTGATGAGTATCTTTTAATTGCCATCGACTATAAGTGCTCGATTCCCATCGTTTATTCCAATCATTGGCTGTCATACGAGTATTCTCTTCGATACCGTCACGTAATTTTTTATTCGGATTTTCGGCATCCTTGTATACTTCATTCGTTGATTTTGAATCATATTCGTTTTCATGTACATAGTATGGATTCAGCATGATAATGTCTGAAGAGAAAAGAAGAAGACGCATCGTTAGGGAATTATATTTATGGCAATTACGTGCGAAAACCTATTTTTAACATCACAAAAAGATCAGTTCCCTCGTTATTTATCCATAAAATGTTCAAAATGTGTAAAGAAAAGAAGAGATAAAATTGTAAATGAACATATGAGGATAGAATAATAGAGAGGACAATTACCATCTAACTTATATTGTTGTCTCTGTCAGTATGACATCATAAAAAGGATAGCAGTTTGACTGGACACTTGAAGCGATCTTGTTCTTATATGAAAGAATCAAAGTTATATGCAGACTATGCCTAGATTCAAAGCTGTCTTCCTTGTAGATAAGGGATAAATTTTCAAGGCTTTTCTGATGCTCTGTTGCAGCAGAAAATGATGATTCAGTCAAGTGCGGTTACCGCATAATCTGACTAGACTGAAGATATGCACTATGATGCACCTGATAGCTCTAGTCTAGGTTACTTTGCATTCGCGTAATTGGCGAGCTTCCGTAGCGCAATCGGTTGGCGCATTTGGCTGCCGACCAAAACGTTGGTGGCTCAAATCCACCCGGAGGCAGTATTTTTCCTTTCACTTCCATGTTTTATCGATCTACTTTTCATCTATTCAAACTAGTCAACAAGAAGCTAAGTAATATACGAAAAGTCACAGCTTTTGATATACAAATTTTCCACGACATTAAGATTTTCAAAGCAAAGAGTTCGATTGTTACACTTTATTCCGCAAATTCGTACGAACAACTGTATGCAATTGGTTGTGGCTGTTTGTGACGCATTAGAAAATAAAAAACATATAATAAAAGAATATATATATAACAGGAAGTAAAAATATTTCTAAATTCAAAACAAAATGCACAGACCTCCCTTTGGTCGGCGTTCGCAGCCAGATATCGAATTATTAGTTTCAGCTATACACATGAAAGAAAGAAAGAAAAGTGCTTTATATGATAAAGTGTTAAGGTATTTTTTTATGTACTCTTTAATATGGGTGATGATTGTCGTGAAAAGTGCTTTGAGTACATTCACTTAGAGAAGCCGTCAAACTAGGTCTAAGCGTAGACATAGATCAATATCATTCTCTTTTCTTTCTCTGGTTTTGCTGAATGAAAGAAATTGGATACATTTCCATGTATAGAATAGAATAAATTTTCATTTTTTATTATCGTCTACACAATCGAACACAATTTAAAGCTAAATTATATTCTTTGTGTTTGTAAATATAAGTATATGTGTACTTATATATCCGTTTTCAGATCACATTAATCTATTTTATCGCATTTTGAAGATATTTTTCTTTTTAGCGAAAGCAAAACGATAAAGTCCGAAAATCAGAAAAATTTCTGGTGTATCGTTTTGCTTTCGCTGAAAAAAAAATACCTTCAAAATGCGATAAAATAGATTATCTGATTTGAAAACGGATATATAAGTACACATATATGTGTAACTTGTATTTTTACAAACACAAAGAATATAATTCAGCTTTAAATTGTGTTCGATTGTGTAGACGATAATAAAAAATGAAAATTTGTTCTACTCTATACATGGAAATGTATCCAATTTCTTCCATTCAACAAAACCAGAAAAAGAAAAGAGAATGATATTGATCTATGTCTACGCTTAGACCTAGTTTGACCGCCCACGAACACCCCCAAACTAAAATCTGAGTTAGCCAATCGATAGAGCTCGTCGAGCTGAGTATAGCAACGTCTAACGAACACCCAAAAAACTTTTTATAGTTTCGCTTTTTAAGCATATATTTTGAATGAACACCCACGAACATCCACGAACACCTACGAACACCCAAAGAACACCCACGAACACAAAGAAGAAAGGTTAAGAACACCCAAAAAAGTGCGCCAAATTCATCTTCAGGTTATTCTGGCCTGAGGGTGTGGTGCGGATGAGCCTACCAGTACCTCACCCTCATCCCACACCCACACCATACCCTCAGGTACCCTCAGGCCAGAATAACCT